GAAGGAGGAGGAGGAGGACGGAGGAGGCGGCGGAGAAGAGGAAGGAGAGAGAAAAGGAGGATAAGGAGGACAAGGAGGAGGATGACGAGGAGGAGGAGGAGAAGGATGAGGAGGAGGAGGCGGAGGAGGATGAGGAAAAGGAGAGGGAAGAGAGGAGGAGGAGGAGGAGGAGGAGGAGGAGAGGAGGAAGAGGAGGAGGAGAAAGAGGAGGAGGAGGAGGAGGAGGAGGAGGAGGAGGAGGAGGATGAGGATGGTAAGGAGAAGGAGGAGGAGCCCGCCCGACCCGACCCGCCCGTTAGGGTCCGCCCGCCCGACCCGCCCGATAGGGTCCGCCCGTCCCGTTCCGGCCGTTAGGGTTCTCATGTGTCACGCTGTATACGCATCAGACTTTAGTGTCCCGCCCGCCCGACCCGACCCGCCCGTTAGGGTCCGCCCGCCCGACCCGCCCGATAGGGTCCGCCCGTCCCGCCCGTCCCGCCCCGCCCGTTAGGGTTCTCATGTGTCTTGCTGTATGCGCATCAGCCTTTAGTGTCCCGCCCGCCCGACCCGACCCGCCCGTTAGGGTCCGCCCGCCCGACCCGCCCGATAGGGTCCGCCCGTCCCGTTCCGGCCGTTAGGGTTCTCATGTGTCACGCTGTATACGCATCCGACTTTAGTGTCCCGCCCGCCCGACCCGACCCGCCCGTTAGGGTCCGCCCGCCCGACCCGCCCGATAGGGTCCGCCCGTCCCGTCCCGCCCGTTAGGGTTCTCATGTGTCACGCTGTATGCGCATCAGACTTTAGTGTCCCGCCCGCCCGACCCGACCCGCCCGTTAGGGTCCGCCCGCCCGACCCGCCCGATAGGGTCCGCCCGTCCCGCCCGGGCCGTTAGGGTTCTCATTTTCTCCTCCCTCCCATTTTCTCCTCGTCCTCCTCTTCGTCCTCGTTCTGTGCCTCCTTCTCCTCTGCCTCCTCCTCCTGCGTCCCCCCTCTTGCTCCTCCTCCTTCTCTTCCTTCTCGTTCTCTTTGTCGTCGTCCCTCTCCTAATACACCTCCTCATCTTTAGTACTTCGCATCGGCCTCCAGCGTTCAGTCCCCCGCGTTCCTCCTCCTCTCCTCCTCCTCCTCCTCCTCCCCCCTCCCGTCATCGTCAGCACTGTCACCGCATGCCCGAACATATCTCCTCACACCCCTCACACGGGTCGTGGCCCCATATGCAGCTCCACCGAAGGCTCCAGTGGCTGCGTCCGCATGGCACCTCCGTCCGCCCGGCCCGAGCGCGCAGGCGAAAGTAAAACGCCACAGGCCAAAAACCCAGGTCACGATTCCTTCTTTGGGCCCCAGAACGCCACAGGCAAAAACCCAGGTCACGATTCCTTCTTTGGGCTTCAGGAGTGCCACTGACGCGGAGGAGAGCAGGGGAGCACTTCCTCTACACGCGCGCGCTCTCGGCAAGACCCGGAGGCCCGACGCGCAAGGCAAAAAAAAAGCGCCACAGGCAAAAACCCAGGTCGCGATTCCTTCTTTGGGCCCCAGGAGCGCCACCGGCAAAAACCCTGGTCGCGATTCCTTTTGTGAGCCAGGCCGAGGGAAGCGGAGGAGCACCCCCCCGCCCGGCGCGCGCGCCCCGGCCAGTGCCCCGGGGACCCGACGCGCAAGGCAAAAAAAAAAACGCCACAGGCAAAACACATTTTCTTACCTGTAAAGTTTTTTTTTTGCCTTGCGCGTTGCAGCCGGAGGCAGTCAGGAAAACCTGACCCGTCTGCAGACGCAGTCGCGGCTCGGAGCGGCCATGGCCCAGGGCGAGGTGTTTTTGAACCGCGATGGGGCCGCCGCGCCACGCATTGGGGGGCGGCGTCTGCCCGAAGGATCCATGGGCCGAATTGCACGGCAGAGAAGCTTCGCCCCCCCATCATCAGTTCACCGCCTGCGAATTTGAGAGGTTGCATCGAAGTAACGCTGTGTTTTCGATCGACGTTGACGCTACTGCGCCGTCTTCATCATTCTGGGATGCTGGCGGTTTTGCCATCTTAACAAATTCTCCCAAATTCTTTACGCTTCGCGTATCCCCACCAGCCCATCTCAAAACAGCAACTCTTGCGAAGCATGCCGACAGTCGTGTTTTTCAGGCGTGTTTCCGCCTGCCCCCGCATATCTCCCCTGTTCCTCCTTCCTCCCGCCTCCTTGTACATCCTCCTTGTGGTGGGAGCGGGAGAAGGACGAGGCGGAGGAGGAGGGAGAGAAAGCGCTCCTCGTGGTTTGAGTCGTTTGGGGTTTCTCGTCCTGGTGTGAGTCGTTCGGGCCCTTCTTCCTGGTGTGAGTCGTTCGGGCTCTTCGTGGTGTGAGTCGTTCGGGCTCTTCGTCCTGGTGTGAGTCGTTCGGGCTTCTCGTGGTGTGAGTTGTTCGGGCCCCTCGTCCTGGTGTGAGTCGTTCGGGCCCCTCCTCCTGGTGTGACTCGTTCGGGCTCCTCGTGGTGTGAGTCGTTCGGGGCCCGCGTCGTGGTGTGAGTCGTTCGGGCTCCTCGTGGTGTGAGTCGTTCGGGCGCCTCGTCCTGGTGTGAGTCGTTCGGGCCCCTCCTTCTGGTGTGAGTCGTTCGGGCTCTTCGTGGTGTGAGTCGTTCGGGCCCCTCGTCCTGGTGTGAGTCGTTCGGGCTCCTCGTGGCGTGAGGCGTTCGGGCACCTCGTCCCCTTTTGGGGCGTCTTGGGGGCCTCTTGGCGGCCCCAGGGGCTTCTAGGAGCGTCTTGGGTGCCTTGGGGGAGCCTCTTCGGGCCTCTTGGGAGCCTCTTGGAGGCCGTTTGGGGCGTCTTGGGGGCCTCTTGGCGGCCCCAGGGGCTTCCAGGAGCGTCTTGGGTGCCTCGGGGGAGCCTCTTGGGGCCTCGTGGGGGCCTCTTGGGGGCATCTTGGGGGCCTCTTGGAGGCCTCTTGGGGGCCTCCTGGGGGCCTCCTGGGGCCATCTTGGGGCCTCTTGGTGCCTCCTGGGCGCTTCTCGGGGCCATCTTGGAGGGGATCGATCAAAGACTCTCCAGGCCCAGGGGGAGGGGGGAGGGGGAGGGGTAAACCCCTTCCGGAAGGGGAAGAAGGGGGGTTGAGAACAGAGAGAGCTCTCTAAACCACTCACGCCCAAAGGGCTGGTGGGATCCCTGCATCTCTGCATCTATCATACACCGCTATCGCGGCCACCCAGAGTTTTTCATCAATGCCAATTCGGGAGGTGCTGTTCGTTCACCTGTGGAATCTAGGTCCTGAGAGTTTGATCGCAGGCGCCAGCGGTTCCATGGACGTTGCAGCAGGACGGGCCGCCTTCATTTTGCCTTGGAAAGACCGGCCCTGTCGGGTCGGAAGTGGACACCCGCGTCATCCTCGAATTCTCCGAAACCATGTAAGGTCACGGTGCATACATTGATTGCCCACGATCGTGACAATATCGCCACGTTGGCCTCTGGCTGAGTCCTTCTGCCCCGCTTGTTGTTGTTCCGTATATTTTCCACGCACCCGCCCTGGGAACCGCCGGTTTTGGGCACTCCTCTTGGGATTTGGGATGCGTGGGCTTGAAGCCAAATAGTTTTGTAGTTGTTCCAGCCAGTCTGTGTACACCTCGGCAGGCACCACTTCCGCTTCGACGCGCGGCACCTTTGCATCCTCACGAGCAATCTAGATGGTCACCTGTGTGTGGTTGCGCGGGAATGTGAAGAGGAGAGTGTGGATGATGTCTCCTGTTACTATTAATATGTGCCCTCAAGCCTCCTTTCCCCCCACGCCCCACCCCCACCCACCCACCCCGGCCCGTAGCCTTTTCCTTGGGATGCTTGTACCTGTCTGTGCACGATCGGTCGGCACCACTCTTGCTTCGACGCCTGGAACCTCTGTATCAGAGCTGATCCCCACAAGTGGTGTAGATTGTCACCTCCATGTGAACACGTTCGCAAGAGCTGTTGCAAACCAGTTTGTTCATGCATACGTATATTTGCTGCGCGGTTCGTAGCGGCCGAGGATCGAATCGATAGAAGCCTGATGACACGGCTTGGGGTCAGACTGAATACACCCAAGCGCAATCACAGTTTGAGAATTGCTTGGTTCCATTGTGTCGTTCCCGCGGCGGCCACCTTCTGCCCACCGCGCGGGGCCCAAACACTGGTCCCGTCCAGGTATTTTTTGGCCACCACTCCGAGCAGAATCTGGCCGTGGCCACGAGGGCGCTGCGGGAAATCCGAAAAAGGCTAACGACGTTTAGAAGCTCTATGCGTAGAGCCGAGACGCGGAGGGCGGCTGACGATCATTGGGCAGGCCTCGGACAGATAAATCGCCCCAGAGCGCCTCGGAACGACCGCGGCTCCCGACACACCTTCCAGCTTCGCACATTCTCAGAGGTTCCCGATTTATTCTGGTCCGACTTCACCTTCTCCTTGCCGTCGCCCTCGAATCGGGGCCTCGCTGTCGCCCCCAACGGCAGCCGCCTGCGCCACTCCCCTCCGCGCTCGCCGCTCCCCTCCCGCCGCGCGAGCGTTCATCCACTCGCAGTTGTCGCCGGCCCTCCTGCCGTTCAGGGTCGAGGACAGCGCGGCTCCCCAGGCCTTGGCATCGCTCGGACGTGTGCAGCTCTTCTTGGCGGGGACCATCGAGGGGCCTTCTGGACCACGTTGCGGAAGAATACATGCACGAAACCGTAACAAGCACGGGGAATGGACGTCCGAGCGATGGCGAGAGGCTTCCCCCAGCACCTCGACGGGGTCTGGGCGGCCGGTTTGCTCAGATGTGTTTAGCTTTTTGAGGCCAGTCTCGGCCGTCGGAGCCGTCAAACAATTGTCGGGATGAAGCGCTGGTCTTGGGGAAGGGGTCGAGAGCTCCTCCTCCTCCTCCTCCTCCTCCTCCTCCTCCTCGTTCCTCCCTCCTCCCTCCTGTCCCCACTGCTGCGCCTGAATCCTCCTGCGCCCGCCGAAGCGGCCCACGCATCGAACAAATCGAAGCGTGGGATGTGTGGGTTCGTCGCGTCGTGAGAAGATACAACTGGAGGCTTTTGACTTGCTCCAGGTCTCTCAGTAGCGGGGGGCGGGTCCAGAAAGTGTTTGACAGCGCGTTTGGGACCCCCCCAAGAGCGGTGCAACAACGAGTTCAGGATCGAGATCCCGAAACAATCTTGTTTGATGAGGCCCGTTAGACCCCCACAAAAGTATATCCCCCCATTATTAAGAGATCCAAAGTATTGGAGAGGCCTTACGGCCGGTGCCGCCGACCCTGAACGACGACGACGACGACTTTTGCGCCGTGGGGCCGACGGCGCCTCGAGCCCAGTCTGGGCTCAGTCGGGGCGGAGCATTCAGCTCCCAGTGCGCATCTTCTTCGCGTTGAACTCCTTGTCCAGCGCTTTCGTCCCTGGCTGGAGCCCCTACTTGATGCGCGACAGGTTCTGCCGGCCCATCTGACCAGCTTGCTCGTCACACTTCGCCACGCGCTTGCGCATGCCGTGTCTGCCGATGCATCCGCACTTCGTGCAGTAGTGCAGCTCCAGCGTCTTGTCGTAGACGATGGTGGGGCTCTCGTGCGCCTCCTGGTTCCCGATCTGCAGTCTGCTTCGCTTGGTGCCGTGCGCGGTGCCGGTCCTGACCATGGCCCTTCGGTCACCTGCCAACCAAGCGTCCGCAGCCGTCATGAGCATCCTCGGGCCACGCCGCAAGCAGATGCAGTGTTTCCCGCTCACGTGGTTGGCGATATTGTGCTTCGTCTCTGCGAGCGTTTTCGCCCTCCTCCACTTCTCCGCGTGGGCCTCCTTCCTGGTCTTCACGCTTGGCGCCTGGGACGGCTCGATCTCGATGAAGGCCATGGGAGTGGCGTAGGCGCGGTCCCTGATCAGCATTCGGCGAAGCCGACAGTCTTGACCTGCGCCCTTGGCATGTGCGCCTGCTCGATGATGCTGTCCACAAAGCCATCCGCCAGCGAATTGTTCAACCAGTCGATCGTGTTGAAGCCAGCCTCCTGCGCGCTGAGGTGGCTCTCGACTTTCACAGTTTCCAGTTGATTGCCCTCGATGTTGTTTTTCGCCGCGCTCCACAGGTCAACGTGCGTTTTCGGCATCTTCTCTGCCGTCAGCTTCGCCACGCCTCTGACCACATACGACGACTCCGCGGTGTACTTGATCTTGCCGAAGCCGTTGCACGCCTCAAGAACGCTCTTCAGGGCCATGTGCTCGCCTCTGTTGACACTCCGTCCCCATCCTGAGAGGGCACCACGGCCTCCTACTACAACCTTGGCCTCGCTCGCATCCAGGGTGCGGAAGAGCACCCAACCCCAAGCCACTCCGGATCCTCGGGTCCATTGCGCACTCGCCTCCCAACGCGTCGCCTGTCGTGATGAACCACTCGTCGCCGTCCAGGTTTTCCGTGGCGCCGAACCTCTCGTACAGCTCCTCGCCTTGTTCGGGTGGGGGCTTGACCTTCGTCCAGCTCGTTGGCAAAATGCCTCTCAGCCGCAGACACGATTGGTTCTCAACCTCGGTCGCGGCCTTGTTCACCAGGTGCTGCAATTTCTGGCGCCCCTCCAGTGTCTCGTTGCACTTGCACTCCCGCGCGCGACGCTGCCACGTTCCTGCCGCTTCGCCGCACCTCGGGCGCATGGCGTCGTCGACCCCGATGCCGAGGTCCGCCGCGCGCTGCCTTGGCCTGACCAGACCCCGCCAGTCATGATCGCGAGGTACGCCCCCACTTTGTCGGACCCGCCCTTCTTCCCCAGCTTGCCAAACGCCTTGTGCGCTGAGCGGAGGTCAGCTTCTCCTTCCAGCCCGCCTCCCGCGCAGTGCCTCGCCGCCCTGGTCCGCTGGTTGGTCTCCGCGGTGCTCCTGATTGCCGCCTTTCAGGTCGCTGGTGACCACGCGGCCGCCCAAGGTGCTGGGGTCGCTCCCGCTGAAGACCCGGCCCTCGTTGGATGCCCGGTGCCAGGGCCAGACTGGATGCCGGCCAATGTCCCAGAGCGTGACGACCATCGCGCGGGCAATTCCTGCTACGTCTCGCCACCTGCGCAGCACCCTTTTCCCGCTGCATCGCGGCGACGATCTTGGGCCAGATGATGCCGACGCTCTTCCTTCCCATCGGCTCGCTGATGCTGCGCATCCACGAGTCTAGCAGCGCGTAGGCCGAACCGAACGCTGGGTCGCCCGCCCCGGTCTCCAGCTGCAGCAGCGTCGCGAGACAACGCCTCTTACGGCGAGGGACCACTACCGATGCCAGCCCGCGCCTCCACTTCGCGACCGCGCTCGGAGCCGCGCCGGACACCTGGCGCGCGAAGGCCGCGCGAGGCAAGGACCCTCGCTGCACGACCGGCCTTGCTCCTCTTCTGGCTCTCCGCTCGCATCGCGCCGTCGTCGGCGCCCCCGACGCCCGCCGGCCAGCGCGAGCGGCGCGCCTGGCGCGCTTGCCCCTGCCGCCGCCGACGCCGCGGCCACGATGCCCAGGTCGGGCGCCTGGTTCTTCACCCTGGAGGCAATGTTGCGCGTCCTCTGCTTGGGCGCCACCTCCTTGGTCGTGTTCGCGTCGTTGCCACTCGGGGCAGACTTGCTTGGCGGCGCGAGCGCGTCCTGCCTGGCGCCCGACGCGATGTCCGCGCCTGCCCCTGCGAGCAGCCCCATCACCTCGCGCCGCGAGCCCTCCTTCCTCGTCGCGACGTCGTCTACCCACGAGCGCGCCAGCGCGTGTCGGCACTTGCAGTTCGCCCTCTCCGGCGCCGCGTAGAGCACCGCCCTGCGGCAGTCGATGCCTCGGCAAGCTCCTGCGCAGATCGATCGATCTGGGGCGACGGGCCCCGCGCGCGCCGCCCTCTCTCTGGAGAGCCGAGCGCTGCTCGGCATCTCCAAGTGCAAAGTGCTGGCTGGGAGCCCGCGCCTGAGCCCCTCGCTCATGGTGGGGGCCAGCCCCAGCGAGTCGTGGAACTCAGCTAAGTCTCACAGCGCGGTGACTGGGTAGATCCGCGCGGGCGCTCACTCCCGCACCTCCTTGGCGAACGGGCGAACCAACGCCTCCTTGAGAGCGCTGTTGCCCGCCGCCGCGGCGCCCCACTTGCCCGCCACCGCGGCGCCCCGCTCGTCAGTGTACTCGCTCTTGATCTCCGGCCAGATCCCCACCGCATCCGAAAGCAATCCAGTCGGTCGATCGCCGTCAGCATCTTTGCGAAGGAGGCTGACAAGCGCGACCGCGAGCTGCCGAGGCCACGCGCCCGTGCTCTCCACCAGCGCGACGACGTTGAGAACCCCCCCCCTCGCGCCGGGGGGAAGCCACTCGCGGGCCAAGGCCCGCAAGTGCTCGACGCCCTTCGCCATGCGCGCCGAGTCGACCGCGCAGTTGGGGCTCTCCAGGGCGACGGGGGCCCAGTCTTCCACCGGCGCCGCTTCTCTGGCATTCCCGAGCTTGTCCAAGATGGCGGCCCTCGGTGCATTTGCTGGCCCACTTCCCCTTCCACTGCGCGCCCTTCGCGCCCGCGCGCCCGACCATGTTGGTCGCGGCCCGCCCGGCCGACCTGACCTCGTTGTCGCACTGCGGCTTGTCCCGCGCGCGTCGGCGCTGCTTGTCGCCGCCGACCGCCCCCTGCCCCTTCGCTCAGCTGGCGCGAGCGATCGGCGCCCCCTGCGCCTTCGCGCGCTTGCCCTTCCTTGCCGCAGCCAAGGCTTCCACTTGAAGGCTCTGGAGCGTCGCGGCGCTCACGCCGCTGATCCCGAACCTTGTCGCTCGCCGTTTGCGCTCTTGCTTGCCTATCATCTCGACGATGCTGCCGCCGGGGGTCGACCCGCTCATGGCCTGGGCGCGGGCCGGCAGGCGCCGCCCGCGCGGGCCCTTCCCCTGGCGGCGCCTCAGCTCGACCAGGCAGGGCGGCAGCGTGCCGCGCCGCGAAATTGAAGAGCCCATGTCGCACGCGACGTTGTCACTCATGCGCAGGGTCCTGGTGGCGAAGCAAACGGCTTCGCCGCGCCCGCCGAATTTGCTCCTCTCCGCGGGCTCGATCTTCAACGTGCCCAAGTAATACTGCTCGGCAGCGCGAACCCACGCCGCGCTCCGAGTTGCGCGCCGAGCTCGCCGGCGCCGAACGGGTCGAACAGGAACGACGCCGTCTCCTTGATGTAGTCGGGCGGTGACCTCCAGGAACGACGGTCCCCGATGCGCCCGCTCAATCTCGAGTTGCCAGGCAGCGTCGCGCTGCCCCACTGGAATGTCGAAGACCGTCTCGGCAGCGTGCTTGACCTCCTGCTCGGTCTCTTGCTCGTCGTAGTCGCTGACCTCGCCGCCGTCCTCGCGGGTCTCGTAGCCGCCGAACAGGTCCTCCATCTCGCCATCGACGACCCTGCGCTCGTTGGGCACGCCCTTGCAGCGGGCGGGCTCGAACCCACCGCTGCTCGCGCGTGGAGGGGCGGGCGTCGAAGAAGTCGGAAGCTCCGAGTTCTCCGGCGCGCGCTGTAATCCCCCGTTGAATATCTGATGTTGATTAGCGTTCGCTTTCTGCTTTGACCTCTTGCTGTTGGGGTCTGCCTTCTTCTTCGGCGTGTCTGGTAAGGGCGTCGGCGCGGGGAGGTTGAGCGGCATCTGCAGTGCTGGCTCCGTCTCTCCACGTAGATGTAGCCCGCCGCCGAAGTGGTCGCCTGGGTCCGTCTGGTTCCACACCACCTCCTACGGGATGCACTGAAAGGACTCCGAACGCAGCGCGTAGTCGAGCATCCTCGCTGGGCTCCGCGCGCGCGCACTGCGCGTCCGTCGGCGCGCGCGCCACCGTGTCGAGCACCATGAGCCAGCCCGCCTGCTTGAGCTCGCGCGGCTCCGCGTTCCAGTCACCAGCTGCGACCCGTAGCCCTCAGTGTCCACGGGTGGTCGCCGCCGCCCCCGCCAACGGCGCCCCTTCCACCTCCCGGGGATCGCCGCCACATCTTTGAAGTCGATCGGCCCTGGCAACCTCGTCCTCGTCGATCTGCCTCAACCCGACGGCCTGCTCCTCCTTCGCGGCGAGGTGCCGCAGTGACTGCGCTGCGAGATGAGAACGCACTGCGAGTCCGACGCCTCCTGCAAGCTCCGCTCGCTTGCTCCGCCCGCGCCGCGTGACTACCGCCTTCCAGCCCCTGTCGCCCAGGTTTCCAGGATCTCGTTGCTGCCCTCCGCCTAGACGCGAGTCTCGGGAAGGATGAACTCCGCGTCCTTGAGCGACTCGATCCGCTTCTTCAGCCTCGGCCCCCCAGTAGAGAGGTTGCTCGCGTAGATGCTCTGGCTAGGATGCACGCGCCCCACCGCCAGCCTTCGCGCGCGCCCGCGCTGCTTCCACTGCTGCTGCCAGCTCCTTCTTCTCCTTCTCCTCCCCCTCGGCGGGCGCTTCGGCTGACGGCGCTGCTGGTACTGCGCCGGCGCTGGCGCCCGCAGGGGCCGCGCCTGCTGCGCCTGCGCCTGCGCTGCGGGTGCCGGCTGCTGCTGCGCCCGCCGCTGGCGGTGGCCGTGGTTCCTTTTCTTTCGGTGGCCTCGTGGGGATAGCTTTGGGGCTTATTGGGGGGCTCTTGGGGGCCTCCTGGGAGTCTCGCGGGAGCCTCTCGGCGCTTCCTGGGGGCCTCTTGGGGGGCTTTTCGGGGGCATCTTAAAGGCATGGGGGCCTCCAAGGAGCCTCTGGGGCCGATGGCGCGAGATGTCCGTTCAGGTCCCCAGTCTGGGCCCCCTCCTGGAGCCCTCTTGGGGGGCCTCTCGGGCTGTCTTGGAGACCTATTGAGCGGTCCCCGGGCCCTCTTGAGTAGTTTTTGGGGCCCTCCTGGAGGCATCTTTGGCGATGTTGGGGATTTGTTGGGCTGTCATGGAGCGTCGGGAAGCCGACAAGGCGAGAACGCCAACATTGTTCAAAATCTGAAGGAACCTGAGATTTTTGCCCTTGGGGGCCCTCTTGGGAGTGCTCTTGGAGGCCTCTTGGGGCGTCTTGAAAACCTGTTGAGCCGTCTGGAGGCTACTTCGGCGTCTTGGAGCGACAATTCGGCGATTCGGGACCCTCGAGGACCGTCTTTGGGATTGCTGAGGCACTTTAGCCGCGTCTTGGGGCGTCTCTGGGCCCCAGAACCGCCCCGGGGGAATGCGTATATGGGGGGCGACCCCCCCCCCCCAGGACACCCCCCCGGGACGCCTTGGGATCCCCCCCTTCGTGGCGGGAAGGGGATCAAAGGCAAGGGGCTTCCCTTCGACTCAGCTACGACGTTGCTCAATGTCGGTTTGGCTGGCGCGCTGAAGGAGGAGGGCCCAGGTAAAGGAGATTGGGGACGACGGAGACGACGATTGACGGAGACGTCGAGGAGACGACGGAGAAGCACAAGACGACGGACACGACGAGGAGGCCAGGGAGACGACACGACGGCGAGGGCCCATGGAAAGGAGACGGGGGACGACGGGGACGACGATTGACGGAGACGACGAGGACACGACGGAAACGGAGACGACGACGGAGACGACGAAGAGACGACGGCGACGACACGACGGCGACGACACGACGACGACGACGACGACGACGACGACAACGGCGACCAACGGAAGAGCGATTTCCACACGCCAAGAGGGTCGGCGGGTTTTGCTCTGAGGTTGCTCCTTACTGGGCCCGAGGACCGTCGACCAAAATCTCAGGATGAAAAGGCGGTCTGGCTTCGGGGCCACGGGCTGATTTTGAACGAAGGCGGGCCCAGTCCTCCAACTATTCGAGCAATCCGGGCGACTGGCTTTGGCCATTTTTCCGCCTGGGGGTCTCTTGTGGCCCCCTGCATTGTAAAATAACAATATGGGGCGAAGAGCCGGTCTCGGGGAAGGGGTGCAGACGTTTGCAGGTCCAGACGTTGAACATCACAACGTCGGGGTTTGGGGAAAGGGGGGACAAGTTCGCAAGGTTGTATATCGCCGTGCTCGGTCGAGATTCTTTCTGGAGGAAAACGTTTGCTGCGAGTTTGACCCAAGAGAGGTTTAGGAGAGGTGTTTTGAGCGGGGCTGGGTCGGAGGAGGAGGAAACATATCGAGGTCTTTGAATGTTTGTGTGGATACCTCCCTGGGGCCTCCGCGGACTTCTGGTGCAGGGGCGTAACGAGACCTCCAGGCCCAGGTTCCGAGCGGCTCGATATAATCGCGCTGACGGTTGTTTCTAATCTCTGGCGTCTTGACTGCGTTTCCAGGGTCCGGGGCTGTCACAGTGATATGAGGCGCAAGCGGTCCCAGAGAAGGGCTCGAAAGTTCCACGGGCCAGCGATCTTCAAAAATCAGATCGTTGGAGGACTTGAGGAATGTGTTAACTATAGGGCGAGATGATCCGGCGGGGCTGGGTTCGGCATGGCAACAGGGTGCACTGGTTCGGCAGAGGGACCAAAGATTAGGATGTAGTAGGGGGGACGGGCGTGTGCCCTTTATGGGCAGGGGGCTGACCATGGGGACGACCTGAAGGGCAAAGGAAAGAAGCCAAGACCACGACCCGTGGGAAGAGACTTGGGGGAGAGGGAGGGGGAGGTGGAGAAGGGGGAGAAGAAGAGGAGGAAGGAGGAGGAGGGGGAGGAGGAGACGAAGAAGAGGACGAGGCTTTGCCCTCGTCGGGAGGGGAGGGGATGATCCTACCCCTGCCCTCAGCCTCCCACCATTCACCCTCTCCCTCTCTCTCTTTCTCTCTCTCCCTCTCTGTCAGTCTGTCTGTCTGTCTGTCTGTCTGTCTGTCTGTCTGTCTGTCTGTCTGTCTGTCTGTCTGTCTGTCTGTCTGTCTGTCTGTCTCTCTCTCTCTCTCTCTCTCTTTCTCCCTCTCTTCTTCGCTTTCAGACCAGCTGCAACTGGGAGAGCCGTAGTCCTTAGCCTCGGAGACGCATTGGCTTCGACATCCCTCTCGAGGGATGGTCGATCCGATGGGTTCCCCCCGCCCATCTCAGGGGGGATGTGCTCAGAGGGGACCGCATCGACCCGCAATCGCACATTGAGCGGCGAAAGGGGCCCCATCGCAGATCTATCCGCGACGTATCGCTGATTCGAGCACGGTGTTCCCCCCTTCCAGCTGGTCTCCCCTTGACGTTGCCGTTCGCATCTGGGAACCTCCGATGGCATGTTTTTTCGCTGCGCGTCCCCTGGAGTGCTCGCGGCCTGGCCGGGCGTCGCCCACCTGCCTAGGAGTTGCTCGCGCGCGACTTCGCCGTATGCCCGAAGGGGGCCCCGTTCACTAGGCCAGACGGCCGCCAGCCGCCCGCCTCCCGCGGACGCCGGTGCCGCGCCGTGAAACCCTGAGACCCGGGCGCGGCATTTGTTCGCGACGGGCGGTTTCGCCGGACTTCGGGCCCTGGGGCCATTACAGATCGAAATGGTTGCGAATGTGCCGCAGCAGGATGAGGGTCTGGGGTTCTCGTCATGATTCTTCAAGAGGGTAACATTGTTTCGTTCTCGCAACGTCGGATCTCCAGGTCAAAGCGTAACGACGCGGGACACGAAGGAAGGCATTGAACAGGTTTCGGCCTCCGGGGGCCTTCGCAAAGGGCCTGGGGCCGTCAGAAGACCACTCGGGCTAGAAGCCCCGCCCCGGGGAAGGAGACCTCAGGGGGCCCACGCTGTGGAACAATCATTGGGTCTTCCTCGTCGCCGGAATTCGCCGTCTGGATCCCCGTTCGCGAGCCCGCCGTCGCCAGTCGTCGTCGTTCTCGTCGGCGATGTCGCCGCCGTCGCAGTCGCCGTCGTCCGCGGCGTCGCCGCCGTCGTCGGACTTCGCCGTCTGCTCGAAGGGAGGCCCCGCTGGCGAGGCCGCCGCCCGGCCGCCGCTATGCGGCGGCGGCCGCAGCCGCTGCCGCTGTCGGCGACATGGACATCGACGCCGACGCCGCCGACGGCGGCGGCGACGCCTACAGCAAGACGGTGATATCGACGGCGGCGGCAACGGCGACGGCGGCAACAGCGGCAGCGGCGTGGACGGCGGCATGGACGACCGCCTGGGGCAGCGGCGGCGGCAGGAGGAGCAGAGGATCAACAGGCTGTCGGCGCTCGCGCGCGCACGATCAAGGGCCCAGAGGTTCTTTCATAACCCTGTGCCGGACATCGTGGGGAAAATAAAGTTCGGGGCCCCGGGGGATAGTAAAAGGTTTTCCCGGCAAGTCGCATGTAGGCATGTACGGTGCACGTATGTAGGAGCACGAAGCCTGAGAAATCATCCTCGCTCTTGGTTCTGGCGGGGCCTTCCCTGCATGGGGTGCGACGAGCACGGAACCTGAGAAATAGTATCGTATAGAGACACCCCACACGCTCTGGCGGGGCTTCCCTGGCTGGGTGGGAGGGGCGAAAAACCTGCGAAAAGGGAGGGGAGGGGAGGGAGAGGAAGGGAGGGAGGGAGGGAGATAAGGGGAGGGAGGGAGGGAGGTGGGGGTGGGGGGAGGCGGGGGGATTCCAGTTCCCGACAAGGTCAAAGTTTCAAACCTATTCGATTCCGACTTACAACCCAAAAAGGTTTATCATGGTTGGGGTTCTCGTTGGATGACAAGCCAGGGGATAAAAGATTCGGGTGCCCGGGGGGGAGGAAGAGAGGGCAGGAGGGCAGGGGGGCGGGAGAAGCACAGGAGGGGAGAAGAGGATGCCTGCTCGCCTGCTCGACCTTCTTTGCTTCGAGCCTCTCCTCCTCGAGCTCCTTGCAAAAGCTCGTCGCAGCAGCTGTGCCCTCGTACGGCGACGAGCGCAGCTTCTTGTGCGAGCTCGGCGTCGCCGCGGGGCTGGGGCCGCCCGGGCCCCACGGTCTCGAAAGGCTGAACTGCTTGGTCGGCGTCTTCGATGACAGCAAGGATCAGTCGACCGCAAACATGGATCCCCCGTTTCCATGGGAGATGGCGAATTCCCGCCGCCGAACGAGGCGGCACCGGCCGCATTTTGGGGAGGGCCCCTCCCCCGATCCACGGATTTGGCGACCGCGCGCCACATCCATGGATCGCTAATCCATGCTTGCGCGCCCCCGAAAAGAGTGCTGATGATGACGGTAACAAAGAATGCGGAGGATTCTATCAAAGGATACTCGTGGTCGGATGATTCAATGTACGACTCGTATTTTCCCTGGTGGTAATCAAGCTCGGCCTCGCCGCTCTGCCCGCCGATCAAGTATAAGTATCCCATGGACTATCCTGACTCGGGGGTTGAGGATGGATGTTTATCATCACGGGCATGCGGTTACCCAGCTGCTTGCGGCAGGCCTCGCCACCGTGCCAGTGCAGCTCTCTGGGCGGCAATGGCTAGAGGAGCGCATAGGAAGCCGTACGTAGCGTGTTGTGCTGTCGCCGAGGACGGCCTCGACTTCTCCTCCATGCGCCCCCTGGACCGAGGGTGGTTTCCATCCCGAGCCGTTTTCCAACAGGTCCTGAGCCCAGGAGCGGCGCCCAGGGACAGGCAGAAAAGGTTGGTGGGCCTTCTGTTTTGCTCGAGCATTGTGGAGGTCTGGGGACCTGCATGGAGACCCCTTGGTCGAGAGGCGCGCCTCCAGGCCTGGTCGGCCGCGGTGGCAGTCCGAGCATCCAGAGGTCGGTCGGCCGGCAGCTCGGCTAGTGACGCGCCCCCGCCTGATTTTTTGCGGCCGTCGCGCCTTGGTCCGATGATGCGTCGCGCTCGGCCACGCTCGTTGTGCACGGCAGGCCCCTCGCTCGTCCGCCACTTGACGACACCTGGCTTGGAAGGCGTTGCCGATCACAGGTGAGAGGAGACGAGGTGCCCCAAAGGCTCGACGGAGAGAGCCGCATCAGGCCCAGGAGCCGCCCCAGAGAATGCAAGGAGAAGAGGAGAAGGTGATGGGAGGAGAGGCAGCAGGTGGTGCATCCCCTCTTCTGCCACTCTGTTCTTTCCGTAGGTCGTCGTGAAAAAGATCCGACGGAAGGTTTTCGATTTCTGGAGCAGGGGTCGAGGACAGTTAGAAAAGTCCAGTCCAGGGAAGGGGTTCGAGACCTCCCAGGGTCCGCGTTGTGAACCAGACACGGCGTCGGCAGTCTGGGCCTCGAGATGAGGGATCGTACCGAGCCATCTTGGTTCAATAATCCGCGGTGTATTCCCCGCGGCCTCCACACTCCCCGCTTTCTGCTTCCATACACCCTGACACCAGAGGTCCGATCGGCCCTCCACGGCCGCAAGAGATGGTCGCGATGACGCGTCCGGTTATCGTTTCCAGCCTCGCGTTCGTCGGCACCCCGGTGTTTCGGGGGCCAGCATTTGCACACCAGCACCGATCATGGCCAGGCCGATGTTGAGCACAGGATCCACTGTGTAGGCATGCTCGGCCACACCAGGATAGTGTAGACGGGGATCCTGAGCCCAAGATGGGCCCAGGACCAGAGCAGATGTAGACCAAAACACCCGACTTCGTGATATTTTCACATCGCGGCCCCCTGGAAGTCTCGACCCCTTCCCAGGACCATATTTTTATGCTGAGTTGTTATTTCATGGCCTTGGGTCTCAGCACAAGGCCCCCAGAGGGCGAAAACCGCGAAATAGTACCCTTCAGAGTTTTGTTGTTTACTGCACGAGGGCGGTCTAGATTGTTGGCGTCCGCCCAGGTGTACGGCTTCAGCGCGGTGACGCGCGACGTGGCCGATCTCTCGCCTTCGCACAGCAGCGGTTTTTCTCCCTCTCGAGGGGAGCGCCAGACGCCGGAGGAGCTGGGCTTCTCCGACGACGGTCGATCTCCGAAGACCAAGCAACAACGCAAGCATACATCGTCGGCGTTCCGCATGCCTCGCTATGGCCATCCTGGGCCCCGATATGATGTGTAGACCCTTCTGGCCTGGGTCAGGAGAGCGTGTACATAACGGAAAGAGCGAGGTACGAGTGATGACGTTGTGTTTTGGGCGAAGCCCCTAAGAAAGGTTCCAGGGGGGGGGGTAGCGCGAGCGGATGGGTTTGATGGCCGTTTCGGGGGTTTTCCTGAGGGTTTGGGCATGTTTTTGGGTTCCCCCCAAAGACGGCCCAAGAGCGCTCCAAGAGAGTCCAAGACCGCCCAAGACGGCCCAAGAAAGAGGCCCCCAAGAGGCGCTCAAGGGGCGCCCCAAGAGGGTCCCAAGAGGCCAAAACCATCGATTACCTAACAGCTTTTGCTGATAGGTTTCTAGTGGTGTCAAAAGAGAGCAGCAGATGACTCCACAGGGGGGTCGGGGCGGGACCCGGGGAGCTGTGTCCGAACTCGTGTCCGAATGCGCTTTTCGCAAACAGTCACACACTTAGTGCTCTTCGACCTCCCAGAACTCCATTCCCGGGCCACATTCTGAATGCCCGGAGCCAACTGTAGGCCACTTCGTGCTCTTCGACTTCCCAGAACTCCATTCCCGGGCCACATTTTGGATGCCCGGAGCCAACTGTAGGCCACTTCGTGCTCTTCGACTTCCCAGAACTCCATTCCCGGGCCACATTTTGAATGCCCGGAGCCAACTGTAGGCCACTTCGTGCTCTTCGAGTTCCCAGAACTCCATTCCCGGGCCACATTTTGAATGCCCGGAGCCAACTGTAGGCCACTTCGTGCTCTTCGAGTTCCCAGAACTCCATTCCCGGGCCACATTTTGAATGCCCGGAGCCAACTGTAGGCCACTTCGTGCTCTTCGAGTTCCCAGAACTCCATTCCCGGGCCACATTTTGATGCTGATGCAGAGGCTGAGAATGGTGATGCTGATGCTGAGGCTGAGGCTGAGGCAGGCAGGCTGAGGCTGATGAGGCTGAGGCAGGCTGAGGCTGAGGCCGAGGCTGAAGGCAGGCTGAGGCAGACGCTGAGGCAGGCTGAGGCTGAGGCAGGCTGAGGCTGAGGCTGAGGCTGAGGCAGGCTGATGCTGAGGCAGGCTGAGGCTGAGGCTGAGGCTGAGGCACTGAGGCTGAGGCAGGCTGAGGCAGGCTGAGGCTGAGGAGGCTGAGGCTGAGGCTGAGGCTGAGGCTGAGGCTGAGGCAGGCTGAGGCTGAGGCTGAGGCAGGCTGAGGCTGAGGCTGAGGCTGATGAGGCTGAGGCAGGCTGAGGCTGAGGCTGAGGCTGAGGCTGAGGCCGAGGCTGAGGCTGAGGCTGAGGCTGAGGCTGAGGCTGAGGCAGCAGGCTGAGGCTGAGGCTGAGGCTGAGGCTGAGGCTGAGGCTGAGGCTGAGGCAGGCTGAGGCTGAGGCTGAGGCTGAGGCTGAGGCTGAGGCTGAGGCTGAGGCAGGCTGAGAGGCTGAGGCTGAGGCTGAGGCAGACTGAGGCTGATGAGGCTGAAGCAGGCTGAGGCTGAGGCTGAGGCAGGCTGAGGCTGAGGCTGAGGCAGGCTGATACTGAGGCAGGCTGAGGCTGTGACTGCGACTGCCGCTGCCACTGCGACTGTCATCACGACTGCGACTGCGACTGCGAGAACAGCAGAACTCTACAACTGGATTCTCATCTGAATCTTAAGGGGAATGCTTCCATATATGCTTCTACACATCGCTGTTAGGTTGCTTTGCTGGGATAATTTTCCTAAGGGAAACGTATATTTTAGTATATGCGGAAAGAGCGGCTTTCACGGCGTTGACGACGGCCCAAGAGGCTCCCAAGACGGCCCCAAAACGGCCCAAGAGGCTCCCAAGAGGCTTCCAAAACGGCCGAAGAGAGCCCCAAGACGGCCCCAAGAGGGGGACCACGAACCGAACAGTCTAGCCTTTCGCCCCAAGAAGCTCCCAGGAGGCCCCAAGAGCCCCCCAAGAAGCCCCAAGAGGCCCCCAAGAGGCGTCCCAAGAGGCCACCAGGAGGCCAAAATCATAGATTTCCAATGGAAAAGGTACATTTTAAGCACGCACGGCCTTTCAGCTTTCACGGCGTTGAAGACGGTCCAAGAGGCCCCCAAGACCGCCCCAAGACGGCCTAAGAGGCTCCCAAGAGGCCCCCAAAACGGCCCAAGAGGGCGCCAAGACGGCCCAAGAGGCGCCCAAGGCGGCCCAAGAGGGCCCCAAGACGGCCCCAAGAGGGGGACCACGAACCGAAAAGTCTAGCCTTTCGCCCCAAGAAGCTCCCAGGAGGCCCCAAGAGCCCCCCAAGAAGCCCCAAGAGGCCCCCAAGAGGTTCCCAAGATGCCCCCAAAAAGGCTCCAAAAGGGCCGCAATGGGACTCCCAAGAAGGCCCAGAGACGCCAAATAAAGAGCGATCGGTATCGCAAAAATCTCTTCACACCAAGGCTCCCAAGAGCGAATGGTGACGTCAACAAGCTGATAAGACCAATGTTCCCAGCAGAGAGCGGTGACGTAACAAGTTCCTGACACCAAGGCCCAGCCAAGGCTCAGGAACGGGCGGCAACGCAACAAGCTCTGAACACCAAGTCTCCCAAGAGCGAGGGGTGACGTAACAAGCTCTCAACGCCAAGGCTCCCGGTACGAACGGTGGTGTGAGTAATTTCGGTATCTGTTGCTGCAGCGCTCTTTCCGTTTCTGTGCTGGGCCAGGTCGAATGGCCTTCGGCCCATCCCGCCACCTTGCCTGGGTTGTGGTTCTGAAGCCTGCCGGATGACTGTTGGGATCCGTCTTGGTGCTTTCTTGGGCCATCTTAAGCGCCTCTTGAGCTGTCTTCGGGCGCTCTTCGGCAGTCTTGGGGCCCTCTTGCAGGCCTCGTGGGCCGTCTTGGGGGCCTCTTGGGCCGTCTTGGATTGTGGAAAAAAAAGAAGAAAAGGCGAGAACGCCAAAATCGCTCAATAACCTAAGGGAAATCAATGGGGCCCTCTTGGGAGGCATCGCGGGGCGTCTCGGAGGCTTTTGGGGCCATGTTGGGAGTATTGGAACGATTTTTCGGCGACTCGACGCCAAGGCTCCTGGTACGAACGGTGCTGCGAGAAATTGCGGTTTCTATGTCTGAAGCGCTCTTCAAGTTTCTGTGTCCGGCCCAGGTAACGGAAAGAGCGAGGTACGAGTGATGACGTTTTGGTGTGGGCGAAGCCCTAAAGGGGGGGTTCCAGGGGGGGTGGGTAGCCCGGACGAATGAGTGTGAATGGCAGTTTGGGGGGTTTTCCTTAGGGTTTTTGCATGTTTTTCGGATTTCCCTCCAAACACAATCCAAAAGCACTCCAAGAGAGCCCCAGACCGCCCAAGACGGCCCAAGAGGCCCCCAAGAGGCGCCCAAGGGGCGTCCCAAGAGGGCCCCGAGAGGCCAACATCCTCGATTGTCCATGGGAAAACGTGCATTTTTTTTGCACATGTTGCTTTTTTGCTTTTCACGGCGTTGACGACGGCCCAAAAGGCGCCCAAGACCGCCCCACGACGGCCCAAGAGGCCCCCAAGAGGCGCCCAAAACGGCCCAAGAGGGCCCCCAGATTGCCCAAAAGGCGCCCAAGACGGCCCAGGAGGGCCCCTAATACGGCCCCAAGAGGGGGACCACGAACCCGAAAAGTCGAGCCTATCGCCCCAAGACGCTCCAAGGAGGCAAAACCCATGGTATTCTTAAGATTTCGCAAGAGCGCGCGCGTAGTTTTCATTAGAAAATCAGCGTTGCGAAACCATGTGTTTTTGTTTGTTTCTGGGGAAACACGACTTTGAAACCCTTCCGAGACCGAAAGTTGTTGAAGAATTTCAACATGCGCGCGCGACGACGCGCGCGTGTGCACTTCGTCCCGTTGTTTGCAAGCTATTCTTGAAAACTTACGATTTTTAGCTAACAGCTCTTGCTGATAGGTTTCTAGTGGTTTCAAAAGAAAGCATCATGACTCCTCAGGGGGGTCTGGGCGGGACCCGAGGAGGCTGCCGCCGAAGCCGAAATCACTTAGGACATCCTCACAAAATCGCTTTTGGTGCTCCCAGAACTCCATTCCCGGGCCACATTTTGGATGCCCGGAGCCACCTGTAGGCCACTTCGTGCTCTTCGATTTCTCAGAACTCCATTCCCGGGCCACATTTTGGATGCCCGGAGCCAGCTGTAGGCCACTTCGTGCTCTTCGATTTCCCAGAACTCCATTCCCGGGCCACATTTTGGATGCCCGGAGCCAACTGTAGGCCACTTCGTGCTCTTCAAGTTCCCAGAACTCCATTCCTGGGCATGATTTTGAATGCCCGGAGCCACCTGTAGGCCACTTCGTGTTCTTTTAGTTCCCAGAACTCCATTCCTGGGCAACATTTCGAATGCTGAGGCAGGCTGATGCTGCGGCCGAGGCAGGCTGAGGCTGAGGCAGGCTGAGGCTGAGGCTGAGGCCGAGGCTGAAGGCAGACTGAGGCTGAGGCTGAAGCAGACTGAGGCTGAGGCTGAGGCAGGCTGAGGCTGAGGCTGAAGCAGGCTGATGCTGAGGCAGGCTGAGGCTGAGGCTGAGGCTGATGCAGGCTGAGGCTGAGGCAGGCTGAGGCCGAGGCCGAGGCTGAAGGCAGACTGAGGCTGAGGCTGAAGCAGGCTGAGGCTGAGGCAGGCTGAGGCTGAGGCTGAGGCAGGCTGAGGCTGAGGCTGAGGCAGGCTGAGGTTGTGACTGTGACTGCGACTGCCGTTGCCGTTGCGATTGTCATCGCGAATGCGACTACGATTGCGAGAACAGCAGAATTCTACAACTGGATTTTCATCTGAATCTTAAGGGGAATGCTTTCAGGTATGCTTCTACACATCGCTGTTAGGTTGCTTTGCCGGGATAATTGATAAGCGAGTGCGCGCGCATAGCATGTTTTGCAGAGGATGGCGGGGGGAACGGATACCGGCTTGGGTGGGAAAGTTTGACCTTACAGGTAGGATGGA